ACCCATACCCACACCCACACCCTTCTTGAAGGTAAAAAATTGACAATTTATGTTGTAAAAAATCTTCAACAATGCTTGAATTTGTTTTAAGTATTGTATGCGTTAATTTATCCCAATGCTGGTCTGTTAATTTGGAGATGGATTCATAATTTGAAAGGTTCTCGATTACAACATTTCTTACATCAAACCAATGATGAATTTTCCTAATTATTTTATGATTTAAGCACTCAAGCTATTTCTGTTTTGTTGCCGTTAGAATAGGAGTACCATTAATGAACTATGAATAAGGGTGTGGGTGTGGATGCGGGCTAGACGAAGAGTAAATTCGATACCCACTCTTTCACTCACATCCACAGCAATGCTCCATACCTACCTACACGACACACTCGCACCCTAGTTCGATCCTGTCTAACGCAGTTTTGGAAAACTTGATGTAGAAGATAAGCTCACGAATGAATGATGAAACAGTGTTATCGTCATACACTCCTTTTCATGTATTATGCAATGACAGATAAATATTGTTGGTAGAAAGGAAAAGAATATATTGACTCTCGACACATATTTATTCTGTTCTGTTTTTTTATGTATTTGGATTACAGAATGTTGAAAGAAAGATAAGAACAACAAAATACGTCTTAGGTGGGAATATTTCCAGTATACTCGCCACATGGATTTTTCAAACTCTCTATCGAAATAAAACGTGGATCGATGTAAAAGAATCGTAGCTTATTTGTCACAGGTAATGTCAGATAAATAGCACATGATTGCACGTATCAGTAATGCAGCTGTAATGATTTTTTATGAAACATACTAAAAAACAGAAGCAAGTTATGTGTTTATGGATTTCAATATCATGATGTTATTCATCGTGCATTCGCAGTAGAAATTTGTGGCTGTTGTGCATTTCTATTTTAATTTTTTTTGAACAAAATACAGGCAGGTTCAGGTAGGTAAAGTTTTATACAATTGAAGAGAATTGGAGCAGTGAGCTTACTTGATCACAATTTACCTAAACAAACACTATCATGGAGCACTGTGCCTGTTGGACTTATTAGAAAAGCGATTAAAACAAGAATTCTTAAGCAATTGATTAGTAACAGTAGATGTCTGATTGAGTATCTGTTTTTTAGATAATCTGTGCCAATATGACGGGTATCGCATGTACGAAATGTGGTCATACAGTCGACAGAACACAAGCGTCGACTCAAATCGTAACGAAAGTCTTGACAGATGTGTTTGCAGCCAAAGTAGCTACGGCGACAGCAGGCGGTGTTTTGGATTCATTCTTGGCAGGTGCTGCAACTGAAGTTGGTATCAAATGTCCGAAATGTGGAGGTGTAAACTGTTTCGTGCCAAATTAATACCTTGTTGAAGTGATCGAAACAATAAATAGGTCATGACACTTAAGCAAGAAAACGTCATTTTTTGTTCACTGAAATTTTCTTTCATAGCCATGTTATAGACAACGTTTCTGTCAACTGTGTATTTGTGTATTGTTTTTTTTTAATCATGAAACAAAAGAGTATTAAAGGGTGTGGGTGTGTGGATGTGAACAAAGAGAATATTGAAATGCTCACACCCACCAATACCCAAATCCATACCTCACATCCCACACCTACATCCTAACAAGCTTTTTCAAATTACTTTTGATAAAAATAAGATAGGGAACTGTGGTTTTCACCATTGGAAAAGGAGCTGAAGACGCATCGAATCGTATATTCCAGAATTTCCTGATCTTTTTTGTAAGGTTTCCAATCGATCTTTTTAAGAATAAACCTATCTAGGGTGTGGGTGGGTGTGCGTGTGGGTGTGGATGTGCGTGTGGGTGTGGGTGTGGGTGTGGGGGTGGGTGAGGGTGTGAGTGTGGGTGTGGGTGGGGGGTGTGGGTGGGGGGGGGGGGGGGGTGGGGGTGTGGG